CATTTGCTTCGCTTTTCCAGTGGTTTAGTCTTATGTAACATCACGGATGATCTCTTCACCAAAGCACGTGCTGTCTCCCCAGATAGCAGCTCCAGAGACCTGATGGGCCCTTAGTCCCACTTCCTTGACTTTCCCACAATTTCTACAATGGTTTCATAGATTCTCGTTAAATGATTGAAGAGTTCTTCGATGAGGACATCTAACTTTAGTGGAAGTTCTCAGACTCTAACCAGCGCCCCAGAGAGTTCCGTCAAGGTCTGGGACTCATCAGTCTACCAATTCCCATCGGCACCTCTCATGACACCCGACATCCTGTTTTACATGATTTCCACCACAAAGGCACATCCTTGTCCAAAGCAGTTTCTAAACTTTCAATAACCGTTCTTCAAATGCCATTTGATACTAATTAACTGTCAAAATACAGGCTTAGGCTCAAAAGTAAAGTAGCTACATGGGCCTGGCCTAGACCTGAGCACAAGACATGGAAGAATGAAGGGCTGTGCTGTCCACCGCTATTTCAATTTAAATAATGAAAATTCCATAAAATTGAAAATTCAGTCCCTCGATTGTCCTACCCACACTCCAAGTGCTCAGTAGACACATGTGGCTAGAGCTCTACTGGATAACGTTGAGAGGAAGGCCACCGAGTTTACCATTTCATAGTTTCCTGAAGAACACTAACCTGGTAGGGTGCTATGATCCTGGCTAAATTAATCTGCATTCTAAACCCCCTGCCTTACATATTAGGCTATTAATATTATGACTCTCCAAGACTCAGCTCTAGCATCAGATAGATCGGAGTTTGAATCCCGGCTCTGTCACTTATTAGCAATGTGGCCGCGAGCAAATTACTTAACTTTGAATCTGTTTCTTCACTTGATAAACGGGAATAATAGAACTCCCTGGTATTGTCATGAGAATGAAATAATAAATGTAAAATTTACAAAGTGCCTCTGGAATTAGCATTCATTTCAACAAATGGACGTTATAGTAATTATTATTTTTTCAAGTGCAGAGTAGTTCTATTCTTCTTTGTTTAGTCTGGCGTTTCCCAAATTCACTGCTGCCAAACTATTTTAGGATACCTGGAAGACAGTAGGATACCCCCCCAAAGAGGTCGGTGGCCTTAATCCTGGGAAGCTGAGACTGTTTTACCCCACATGACAAGAGGAACTTGGCAGGTGTGATTAAGAGAAAGATCTTGAGATGGGGAGATTATCCTGGATTAGCCAGTGGACCCAGTGTCATCGCGAGGGTCCTTTAAAAGAGCGAGAGTGGGAAAAGGGGATGTGTGATGGAAGCAGAGATCAGAAAGAAAGAGGGGAAGAGGGCGTGCTGCTGGCTTTGCAGACGGAGGAGAGGCCAGGAGCCAAGGAATGCGGGAAGCCTCTAAAACCTAGAAAAAGCAGTGAAATGGATTCTCTCCTCATGCTCCCAGAAGAAATGTGGCCGGGCTGACTCCTTGACTTTAGGACTCTTGATCCCCAGGACTGTAAAATGATTTGTGTTGTTTTAAGCAACTAAGACGGTGATGAAATAGAAATAGAAAACAAATACAATAGAAGACTACTCCAGAATGCCTGAAACAACTCTCAAGACACTGAAGTCCTGTCAGAGGCTGATCTGGTGGGAAGAGCCGGAAGCAGAAGCAGAAATCCGAGGTCTCGGTTTAGCACTTGGCCAGTTTTGTAACTACCAGCAAGTCTAAACCTCTGGGAAGTTTCAATTTCTCCTACAAAATGATGACGTTATCACTTCCACTAATTTTTAAAACATTTTTATGAAGGTGAAAATTATAGATATACTTTATGAGAATAACTCAGACTTGCATATTTCAACTTCTCAATTACAACTACCTAGCAAAGGTGTAAAATAATGGATGAGGTCGTCTTAGAAGAAAACTTCGAGAATTTCCTTAACTTTCCGCATGGCTTTGTTGAAATGAGGAGCTGAAAAGTGTTAAAAAAATTTTTTTTGTTTTAATGAACTCAGCAGAAAAGTGGTTGACAAATGTTTTTTTGTACCCAGGTTGAAATATTTGCAGCCTTCCTTCCCCTCCATCCAAACATCTTCTCTTTCAAAGAGTCAGAGTATGACATTTTATGATTGGGGAATGATTTAAAACAATTTTTTAAACTTGTTTTTCTCCCCAAAATAAATAAGCATGCAAAGCAAAACCTGTACACCGCAAGAGCTGCCTCTCACATTTGAAAAAGGAAGGCAAAGTCTGGGACAAAGGGATGGCAACATTCTTTCTTAACATGCCATAAAGAAATCAGATTCACGTCGTATCTTTGAACACTGCATGCACGTTCCTTTCCCTCTGCATCCAACCCTGGGATGTCTGAAGCACCTGAGAAGATGCCCCGCCACCTGCTGGATCTGGCAGTCGTGGAACCTGCTCTAGTCGGTGCTAGAGAGAGAGCAACGCATCTCTGCTGGCCACTCAGGATATGCAAGAACGTGAAAAAGATTAAATACCCAAAACCACTGAACTGCATGCTTTAAATGGGCGAATTGTATGGTATCTGAATAATATCTCGATATTTTTTTAAAAGACTGAAAAAAATTTACAAGGTGAGCATAGCAATGGAATTTTAGTTTTTTTAACAACTAGATTTTTTTCTTTAAATGATGGGACCCACAGCAGACGACAGCCTACAGGAACAAAGCAGCTGTAGCCAAGGATGGCTTATGTCCAAAGCAGGGTTTTAACCTTGCTGGGCCTACATACTTTAGTCCTTGCTGAAAAGGCTCTTCCCCTAGTAAAATGTGCCCCTACAAAATAGCAACTTGGGCCTCCTTCATCATCGTAAAACCAATCCCTGAGAGAGAGAGAGCTCTCAAGGGTCTTTTTGAACTGGACCTCTCATCTCATTATAATTGAAATCATAGCTACCATTATAATGTGCATTATAACGATGTCAAATGCAAACAAATTCTTGCAAAAGAAAAAAAAAAGAGGTAAAGGGAAACACATCACATGTCAACCGCAGCTGTGTTTTGGTAGGACCATGAGTGATTTTTTTTCCAGGGAAGTTGAAAGTTGTACACAAGCTGGAACGAGGCAGCTACCTCCTCTTACCATCCTTTTGCTTTCCAAAGAGCCTTCGCGTCTATGTTCCAAATTTTATCCTCCATGAAATCAAACATAAGTTACAACTGAAGCAAAAAAAGAAAAAAAGAAAAGAAAAAAACCTGGCAAAAGAAAGTGCAGACCATCTGCAGAACAAAAACCATCAACCTGGCAGCTGAGACTCCCGGATCCCAGCTTGTGCTTTCCTACCAAGAAACCAGTAACCAAGGACAAGCCACTTATACTTTCTGAGCATCTGTCGCCACACCTGGGAAGCAAAGGTTTGACCCAGACAACCCAAAAAGGCCCCTTTCAGACCTAACAGTCTCACTTTTTAAAAAACAGGTTCAGATCACCTGACTCGCAGTCTGTGGCATTTGAAATAGATAGGATGGCCATCAAGCCTGGAAACATACACGGATGCATAATAAATGAGTATTGATATTAAATAACAGGACAAAATAATGATCTATGTTTGCAGACTTGATGACCACTTTGTGACGAACAGCACAATCCACCTTCTTCCATCATCTTCCCTACAGCGGACTTAAGAGCTACCGAACCAACAGCACAAACGAGGCTGGGGACAGGGACGGGGCTTCGGTCTTGTAGGGGTGGCCACTCAGATCCAGCCAGATCTACTTAACACTTACCTTAGAGATGGACTGTCATTCAGCTTCCACTTGCAGCCTAGAACGACGCTCCGAGACACCAGACACGAAATAACAGGACACGTCACTCAGGAAGGCTCCGCGGCAAAAGATGCCCCACGAAACACGACAGAAGTAGTCCAACGACAAGCACGGCCGGAGGGCCGGAGGCTCAACAAAGCAAGGCCATGGGCGAAGAAGGGGACAGCAACCGCGCATCACGACCTTTCACCAACATTGGGAGTGAGAGTGAGAAATGGTAGAGCAGTTGCAATGAAGACTGACTTATCTACTGCCCGTGCAGATGGAGCTGAGCATGCTCAATAAGCTAATAAACCGCAGCTGGTCAGCGAAGCCCACCTGATCCACTCTGCCTCTCCCCGAGCTTCACCTGCAGTGTTCAGAGCCTGGAAACCTGGAGGTCGAAGGTGAGCTTAACTCTCAGGGACCTGGAATAAGCCATGCTAACATCTCTGATGAGAAGCAGCTGTCTTCTGGTGTGTTTAACACAAGGATGCTGAACACATGGCAGTGAAGAGCTCCGAAAGGCTCTGGTGGAGATGGGCAGGTAAGTGTGTGGGTGTCTCAGCTGAGACTTCGCTTCTGCAGGAAGCCTTTGCCCAACTCTTCTCACCGACTCTCGGTTGGCTCCGGTGTCCCTTGTTCAGGCATCATCAGCTGGTCCTCTTGCATCACAGTCATAGAACGTTCTTGGTTGTTCATCTCTCCAACTAGATCGTAGCTCCTCAAAGAAGGGGACTCTACTTCGTTGCGTTCTCAGGGGCTGGCATCGTGCTTGGCACAGAGGGGAAGGAGCTGGGAGCTTAGTACTCTGGTGCCAAAGGGCTCAACACATGTTGTCGGACTGAACTATACCAATTTCACGATTGCAGTGCTTCAAGAACAGTCAGTGTCCCACAGCTTCCTTAGTGGGGTAGGATAGCAGACTGCTTCTGAACCCCAGCTCTGGAACCCCAGCTCTTGGGTCAGACCCATGGGAACCTCTATCCCAGCTCTGTCATTTACGAGCTGTGTGACCTACAGACCACGGGCAAGTTTTTTCACCCTTCCATGCCTCACAGTCGCCATCTTTAGAAGGAACAATAACAGTCCTCGCTCCAGTTCTCGTGAGGATTCAGTGCATGGAACGTTAGTACACAGGTTGGCACTTAGAACCCACCCAATACACACACCTAGGTGGAAACATTTGGAATCAACTTTTACCCTTAGATGTTTTATTGCGCTTCACTTTATTGTGCTACACAGATGTCACTTTTTTTTTTTATAAATCGAAGGCAAGACCCTCTACCAGCAAAAAGATTACAACTCACTTCATTGCAATGCTCACCTTATTGCAGCCTGGAACAGAACTCACAATGTCTCTGAGGTCTGCCTGTATCATTCACTGGCACTGAGCTATAGGATAAGCTTTGCCCAGCCCTGGTAAGAGATCACACTGAGCTCTGCTTTTATCAGAAGCCACTTAAAAGCTTGGCCACCAATGTGCTTTGTCAGGGTTCTTTTGAAGATTAAGCTGCCTGAGGTCCCTTGCAACTTAATAAAGAAAAAAAAAACAGATGTCTACGGCTCAGATTTTGTTGTTTTATTAGTGCTTCTGAGTTTCTAGGGCTACCCCTTGGCATCATCACTATGGGTGTTGTCATTGTTAGGAAAAGCAGTCTGAGACCCAGCTGAGACATTTGAGGTGATGGTTACAGAGTGTAGAAACAGAGAGAGGCCTCGTTGAAAGCCCATTTCCAAGGTGGGGAAAGCCGGCATCAGAGGCAGCGAATTCTGAGTTCCAGCATTCTGGGTCTCTCTCTCTCTACTGCCCTCATATCCTCCTTCCCCACCTAGGACTGTCTTTGGCATGGTCTTTCTAAGCCACAGTCTCTCCCTGGTTCCCTAATTTTTTTTTTTTTTCAATCACAGTCTCAGAGTAGAATATCCCAGCTACTGGAGGCTACTCAGCTTTTTAAGAGCAAAGAAATCTGCATTTTACCTGCTCCAAACTTGCAGGCTCGAGCTGCCCAAGTGACTCTGGTGCGTGCTTAAGTTTCAAGAACTCCGTGGTTCAGATGTAGTGTTTACTGAATTATGGACCACAGTCAAGATTTTAGAAACAGCTGGTCGATAATAATTGCCTTGACTGACTCTAGGGACCCCCCAGGGATATAACCCACTTACATGCATGTCCTCCCCATTGATCATTTATGAGCAGATTTCACTGCGCAGAGCTGATGCTTGGATGTTAGACTTGCTAATGAGCAGCCACCATGTGCCCCCGCTGCCTGCCATCCAGGGCAGTCGCAGTATATTGAATGCAGCAGAGAGAGCTTAGCAGTCACCGTTCTTCCACATCCCTCTCAGAAAACAAGGGGAGGGTCCAGAGTGTCATTTGACGCCGACGACAACGTATTTATTTCCTCCACCAAAGAGCCAAGCAAAAAGACAAAAAGAAGCTAACTTCTGTAAGGAGGAGCTGGATGGAAAAGGTGATGCTGGCAGCCGCCTTTGCAGACTCCAACTCCAGCACCATGAATGTGTCCTTCGCTCACCTCCATTTTGCCGGAGGATACCTGCCCTCCGACTCCAAGGACTGGAGGACCATAGTCCCAGCTTTGTTGGTAGCTGTCTGCCTGGTGGGCTTCGTGGGGAACCTGTGTGTGATTGGCATCCTTCTTCACAGTGCTTGGAAACGAAAGCCGTCCCTGATCCACTCCCTGATTCTGAACCTCAGCCTGGCCGACCTCTGTCTCTTGCTGTTTTCTGCACCTGTCCGCGCTACAGCATACTCCAGAGCTGCTTGGGATCTAGGCTGGTTTGTCTGCAAGTCTTCTGACTGGTTCATCCATACGTGCATGGCAGCCAAGAGCCTAACGATTGTTGCGGTGGCCAAAGTGTGCTTCATGTATGCAAGCAACCCGGCCAAGCAAGTGAGTATCCACAACTGCACCATCCGGTCCGTGCTGGCGGCCATCTGGGTGGTGGCTAGCCTGCTACCCCTGCCGGAATGGTTCTTTAGCACCATCAGGCTTCACGCGGGAGTGGAAATGTGCCTCGTGGAGGTACCAGCTGTGGCCGAAAAGTTCATGTCAGTGTTTGGTAAGCTCTATCCTCTCCTGGTATTTTGCATTCCATTACTCTTTGCCTGTTTTTATTTCTGGAGAGCTTATGGCCAATGTCAAAAACGAGGAACTAAGACTCAGAATCTTAGAAACCAGATGCGCTCAAAGCAACTCACGGTGATGTTGCTGAGCATTGCCATCACCTCTGCCGTCCTGTGGCTCCCTGAATGGATAGCTTGGCTGTGGATGTGGCATCTGAAGGCCGGAGGCCTGGCCCCACCACAAGGTTTTATAGCCCTCTCTCAAGTCCTCATGTTTTCCATCTCTTCAGCAAATCCTCTCATTTTTCTAGTGATGTCAGAGGAGTTCAAAGAAGGCTTGAAAGGCTTATGGAAATGGATGATAACCAAAAACCATCCAGCCTCCTCAGAGTCTCGAGGACCACCAGCCGGTAACTTAGAGGTCCTCCCTGACCATGTTCCCTCTCCAGAATCCCCAACATCCGTACCAGAGAAAGAGAAGGCTGGCTCTCCTTCCTCTGGCAAAGAGAAAACCGAGCAGGCAGCAATTCTCGTCCTTCCCGACGTAGAGCAGTTTTGGCATGAGAGGGACACAGTCTCTTGTGTACAAGACGATGACCCTACCCCCTGGGAACATGGAGATCAAGAGACAGGAGACTGTGATAAATGATCAAGTTTCAAAGCAAAACAAATTGCGATGATTGTTCTTTACTTGTACTGCTGCTTATCAATATTGCTGACTTTACTATATGTAAAAAAACAAAACAAAAAGGATAGAATTATTACCATTAGGAATTACAAAAATGTCTGTATTTTCAAAATGTGCAATTTGGTAAGTAGAACACCATGTCATGTTTCATAATTATCACCTGGCTGTCCAAAAAACTGTTGTATGTTTCTATAATTACAAAGCCCAGCTACTTTGTCATTTGTTCACAATAGCTTTTATTTGGGTACGCTTTAGAAGCAGCCCTGGACTGGCTGGAGCAGAGGTTATCTATCAGAAGCCGGACCCCTTTACCTTTAGTTTCTTTCTGCACTTGCTAGCCCTAGCTTCACCTATCAAACTTTATTTCACATTAACCAGAGCTCGAAATCTACATCCACTTGAGGTGTTTAACACGCTAATGAATAAATCTTAATGAGTTATCTTCTTTTGCTTAAAATAAGTAAATTTACTTAATGAAAATCTATACAGAATTTTCAAGACTGAAGGTTGCAGAGTAAGGAACATTACCTTATTCCAATTCTGAACTAATTTCAAATTACGGCTTATTCTGGCTAAGTAAATTGAAACTGCTTAATACTAAAACCTGCTTCACTGATCTTTTTGAATGCCACTGCAGAGTCTTCATTTTCTAAGTCTAAGGATTTTAGCATCTTAGTAGAACATTCTATACTGATATAGAGAAAGAAGTTAAAACTACCCTTCTTTCCCTTTGCAATTATCTACTTTTCCAAAATGCAGGAGAAAGTTAGTCTTCTACAAGCTGAAATCAATCTGTTCCCCCCAACATCTCCTGTCTCTCAAGATAAGCTACAAGCTCTGGCTAATGATGTATTAATTATTAATGGCAATCATCAAATACAAAAAGGGGGATAGAACCCTGACTACTTTTTAAAATGCCTCAGGGTTTTTAAGTTATAGATGACCAAAAGTAACAAAACAAAAAAAAAAATTAGTACAGAAGAGAGAAAATTCAGTGCACGCAAGACAGGGATTTGGCTAAGAGAAGAAAACAAAACGCACAAGGGCAATGCAAAAAGAAAAGCAATAAAATTAAAATTCGTGTTCCCAAATATATCACCAGTGTAACCTGAATAACAGGCAATAACTTCATTTTACATCAAGGTAAAGCATCTCCAATAAAAAATGATTATGATACATTTCTTCCCTTATTCAATATAATAACATTTGCCCATGGTTCTTGATTACTTGTAATGGAACTCGGGGGGTATTTTCACTGAAGGATTCTCTCAAGAAAAAACTGCCTGTAAAGCAAACAAGAATTTGAAATAGAAAAAATTTGCTGTGGGTAGAATTTTTTTAAAAAAAAGTTTGGTCTGTGGATTTTTTGGTTTTGTTTTTACAAATGGTCACGGTTTGCTTTTTAAACACGAGATAGGGCTGTTTTCTTTTTACTTGGTTCATGACAATTTTTATTTTAAGGCTCGCAGGTCACATAAAGTACAAGTATCCAAAGTATTGTTTTTGTGATATAATTATACAAAAAGATTACCTTTAAAATTGTCTGTGAACTATTTAAAAATTTTTATGTACATTATATATAGTAAATGTAAGATGTAAGATTCCAGTGCTGGATATTTTAACTTGTAAACAAATAAAAACAATCATATTTCACTTCAGATAGTTTTGGAGATTTAAAGCTGTCTTGAATGCTCCTTTCAAAATCATCATTTGACACAGGGGCTTTATGGGGAGGTCAGACCTTAACATAGGTCCCAGGGTAAAAGGAATCATGTATTTTTAAAAGTGTCTGCTGATAAGCACCAAATCAAGATGCAGCTATTAAAACATAGTGTAGGTTACTAAAACTCTTTCTTTCATTAAGAACCTAATACAAAGTCCTGACTTGATCCCTTAAAGAAATCTGCACAGAAGAATCTGATTTGCAACTTAATGAGCAATACCAAATACTTCACAAAAGTAGAAAATTAGATGTCACCAAACCATTTTCTTCACTCTTCTCTACTTTGAGAAACAGAATGTAGCGAGTGAGCAAACAATACTAAGTGAAACTCAAAATAACAAAATAAAGCATTCTAGAAATTTCACCTTTGTAGTAGTCATATTTCTATACTAGTTGTGTTCCTTTTGTTAAACACTTCAGTTGCACTCCTCATAAAACTTAAAAATCATTCAATGAATTTATAAGAATGAACTTCAAAAAATAGAGAAAGGAAAATTGAAAAAAAAAAAAATCCTGTGAACCATTTTACAGGCTCATCTTAGTCAAATAATCAATTCTAGGTTTCTACATAGGGTTGACATAAGTTTTGTGGCACTTAACATACTTAAGCTGAGTACTAGTAAGAGAGAGATGAACATTTGTGTGTGATGCATGTCTGCGTGCATGTAACATACAAATCCAAATCTGTTGGTATTCCCATTTTAGGTTTTGTCACAATCATAGGACACAGGTGTGAAATAACAGAAAATATATTATCCTGTTGACATTTTTCTAAACATTTTATGTATGTGGTACTTTGAAACTAGGAATATATGAAGGGATAAAATAGAAGTATCTTTTAAATTGGGGAGATAAAGCTACAAAGAGCAATCAAGAATCAAAGTAAGTTTCATGACAAGATGTGCATGACATATTGAAAGGATGCCAAAAAAGCACTAATTATCAATCTTAACATAAAAGGCAAAGACAAGAAAACAAACAAAAATAAGTGTCTTGATATGAAGCAATAAGACACTGCCAAGAGACTGAGCACCAAACTAGTTCTTTATAAATCCGTTCCCTTTCATACCGCAAATAATTTAGTATTATAGACAAGCCTTTTAAAATTATGTGATATCCAAGATTTAAAGTCAATTTTCATTGAGCAATTACATTTGCTGCTCCTTTTAAAAAAAAGGTTTAAGTTTTTATAAATTATGTAACAACAATCATATACAATCCACACATATAAAAAAGGTTGGTTTATTGTTGTTCAAATACATAAACTGAACATTCAAACATCTTAAAATTAAACTTTAGAAACAGAAGTTTAACATTCAAACAGGAGTATAGTTTACAGGGAACACCCAGAAGGTAATCTGTTGTCTAATCCAAAATATTGATAAAGATCACTTAATGGTGAATAATATGTGTTTAACCAGCAGTCCTATCCAGGCCCACATGTTAGTTATGACCGTGGTTCCATACCTGAGAAGAAATTACTAAATAAATCTTCTCTTAGGCTAACAACAAGACTTGGCCTATAATTCAGAGGGGATAATCAAAGCACATAAGTGAACAAATAAAACTAAAGTGTTCTTTAGAGACGAAGGTAAAAGTATATCCATTATAATAATCTTAACCTCTGGAAGATAAGAATTCAATTTTCAGTGTTTTCTTTTACCCGCTTTAAAAAACAAAATCAAAACAAAACAAACCCCAGCTTAAGTTTCTTGGAGTCTGTGGTATTTCTATCTTGCAAGTTCAAACCACAAATGCTCTTATGTCTTGCATGTATAACACTGCTAGAAAGAACGTCACCAAAAGTCACTGACTTCCACATCTCATAAAAGGATGATTTTTAGCTTCAAGATTTTAGATTTACTAGAGACAGCCTATATTTGAGTATGTATGTCAGTCATGCCACACAAAGAAAAGCATAAATATTTCCAAAGTGTTCTCTTTTCAGCAACTGTTCACAAATGCTTCTCCTTCTGTTCATCAGATGGTTTTGCAATAGTTTGACTAATGCACATACATGTAAAAACCTGAAAATTGGCTCATGCAAGCATTTTGAATTAATAGATACCCCTGTGGAAGAGTATGCAGAATTATTTTGTTGATCGTCTCGTGGGCTCTGACGCTGTGGGAGGTGGGGGTGGACCGCGGCGATCCAGGTCATCCACATACGCCACGATCAGTTTACGCCTTTCCTCTGGCACACAGTCTAGCACTAGATACCGTTTGTCGTTCTGCAAAATTTTTTCTACATCTTTCAGGTGCTGATCAGATTCCTGGATTAACTTTTTAGATCTGAAATAAGAAAAGAAGTCCAAAAATTACTGACTGCTGTTCACAGGTCTTTCAGAAATGAGCTGGAAATGTCCATCTAGTTCCTAATTGTGTTTCCATTTTTTTTTTAAGAAAAATTTCACTGCAGTGGTCACCTTTGTAAGTTGCCTCAGCAAAGACTCCAAGGACTGAAAGGGCCTCAGAAGCTGAATTACCCTCCCGCCCCTACTGGTGGTCCCTCCAGATCAGGGCTGAGGGTGGGTGGATAAATCTTGCCCGTGCTGTACCTGTTCTGTGGATGAACAGAGGACTTCAGTCTGCAGGGCTGCCAATCCCAGCATCTTTCACAAGCTTTCACTTTCACATCTTTCACTAAATTAACTATAAAAATGTAGAAAGAAGTCTTACTTCACATCTAATTTAAAAGCCCAAGCTGATGCAAAACATTAAGGATCCTGACCAAAAAAATCCAATGACAAAATACCTAAAAACCACACCCTCAGCACTATCTAGCCTCCCGTGCGCATACCCTTCATTAAGATGTTTCAGAATTTTCTCTTAAAGGAAGAAAAGCTGGAGCACGAAACAACAACGGTTTCCTGCACACTGACTGCCAAGCAAAGTAAAGGCGTTGTCCTGCTGACAAACCGGTGGGGACCGCTGATTTACAGAGAGGGCTTGTTTTAAAGCTCTCACTTTATCACTTAAAATTTGTATTTAAAAGTATCCAGCAAACTGCTTTCCTCTGAGAAAAAAAAAGTTCTCGCTGAGCTTAAATAAGATAATTTCAAGCTCCAGAATAGTTTAACAACACTTAACGGTCTTCAGAGGATGCAAAGATAATTGACAGTGAAGGATTATAAAAAAAGTCTCTTCATGAAATACGATTCTCATATAGTTGGGGGTACTCCTAAAAAAAGCAGTGAAGTAAAAATAAGAATATGTTTAAAAAACTGGATGGGTGGGTAACACAAAATAGGAATTGACATCTGGGCCCTTTCTTAAAAAAAAAAAAAAAAAAAAAAAAAAAACCAGTAGAGATGGGCTGTATTTGGCCTTTGATAAAAGTTGGCTTATTCTTAGAAATTAATAATGTCAACATGTGTGTGAATGCAAAGTATGCTTTGGCCATTAGAGTTAGGACTAGTAAAGACGATGACTGCTGGTATGAAACATTTCATTGCACACACCTATATGTTATAAATTTGGTCTCTTTCAAAAGCGTCCTGAAGTCAGCTTTGGCTGTGATGTATTTGTCTCGGATGTATTCTTCAAACTCTCTTTGTTTTTTCTGCAAAAAGACAATAAGATTAGGAAAAAGAAACCCACCAATTCTAAAATTAATAGCAATTATTTAGTAAACCAGTAATTTGTAAGTTACATCATAAAATAAAAATTCGAAAGAAAAAAGCATAAGGTACTTTTGTGTTCCTAAAAAGGCAGAATCTGCAAGGTACATTTTTAAGACAAAAAGTAAAGAATAAGGAACCATATATACACAGTAGCCAAAACTTGAGGGCTTGCTAGTCACCACACTGTGCATAGAGTTTTCTGAGGATATACCCTTTAAAAGTCCTAACAACCTCAAGTGGTAGACACTCTTAAAAAGTAAAGAAATTAAG